ACACACACACAGAGAACACACACACATCATGCATTGGCTCCCATCTGCCCTGGTGTGTGAGGTCAAAAATCGATGAAACCAACTGTGTTGTCCACTCGGGTCCCCCAATCCTCGTCCAACGGGAGCGAAGACATAGGCGGAAGCCCATGAGGCGCCTGCCAGCAAACTACACAGGATCTCAGTCTGCAACACGCAATTTTTCGTGCAAACACGATCGGGTGGGAGCCGAGAAAAAGAAGCGCGATCGGGCTTGCAAGAAGAATCCCTCCCTCCCACCCACCCACCTGCCCCGAGCCTCAGGGAACCCGGGCCCATGAGGCGCCTGTCAGCAATAACCACACAGACCGCACAGAGCCATACCAAACATCATTCAATGGCTACAGTCTTGAGCTGCGTCTCACCTGATAAGGAACGAAGTCATCTTCCTCTCCTCATCATTCTAATCATTTACCATCCCATTCAACGGCCCAATACGGCACACATCCCTGCCAAAGCCAGACAGAAACAAACACTCAGAGGCACGCACACACCCCGCCCCGTGGCCAGTGTGGAAATGCGCATGCCCTGTGGCCGTCCCCGTCCTCCATGTGCATTTGTGAGAGGGTGAGCCGTCGCCGTCATGCCTGTCATGCTCGCGAGCGGCCCGTAGCAAGGGTGTCTCTGAAGGCGGCTGGCTCATGAGTGCGACGCTGTCTGAGATTTGGGCGAATCTCTGTCTGCAACACGCAATTCTTCGTGCAAACCCGATCGGGTGGGAGCCGAGGAAAAGAAGCGCGATCGGGCCTGCACGAAGAATCAAGGCCAACAGTCAAGGCAATGCATGTCAGCTCCCTCCCTCCCGCCCACCCACCTGCCCCAAGGCTCCGCAACAAGCACCAACGCTCTCCCTACGTCCCTTCTCCTCCTCCTCCTCCTCCTCCTCCTCCTCCTCCTTCCTTGTTCATTCTCTACTGCGGCAGGCAGCGATCGTGGGGGCGAGCCTGCAGGGCGAGCCTCGGCGAGCCTGGTCCAGGGTTTCGCTAGGGTTTGTTACGGCTTTTTATATTAGACTAGTTCTCTGACGGCCGCCTTCGGCCGAAGGCGGCCAGAGTTCGCTTCCGACGAACGAACGAACGAACAACACCGGATTTGCCCTGAGCTCGCAAGGAAAAGCTCGCCGATCGTGTTTTCTCTCCTTCTCTCTGCTGCAGGACGCGTGCTGGCGTCTAATGACGCACTGCTCGGTTGGAAAATGCATTTTCCACAAAAGTGCCGGTGAGTGACAGATGTCGTTTAGAGGAGTCTGCAGGTATTGTGGTGTTTGCAGGCGGTATTGAGATGGGAAGGTGGTTGCTATAGAGCTTGAGAGGAGAGTGATCGGGTGTCATGCTTGGGCGGTGGTTCGTGCGGTGGCACGTGAATTGATGGGAGTTTTGACGTCTGGTGGGCTGTGTCGATTCGAACAGCCATCACTCCACCCCCCTCGTTGGTTCAAGTGCAAGTGCTGGATGAAGGAATTTCCTGGCGCGGTGAGTAAGGGGCAGGGAGTGTTAATCTTGTGTGTGTGTGTGTGTCTGTGGTGTAGATGCAACGCAGCATTGTCAGCCGCCGCATGTACGCCGGCATCCAGTGCGCGAACACGACGACGCAGGAGGGCGGGACGTGCAACAACGATCGCCGCCACCCCGAGACCAATCTGTCCGTCCTGTGGACTGCTACAGGGTAGCGTGAAAGAGGTCACATGACAATGACGAGGGCCATCGGGTGCTCAGGAGAGTAACTCGGCTATATAGTCTATTGGTGGCGGATCTTAGGTTGGCCGTCATTCTAGCTCGGCCGTTCGAACCCGCGTGGGGTCCCAAATGGCCTGGCCGCTACGGAGAGCGTGGGAGGGGATCTTAAAGCATTTGGTACACCGTCCGGGAGGCCTAAGATCGAGGTAGCCGTCGGAAGTATGTGACCTTTGAGGCTGGGCGCTGGACGGAGCTCAACGCTCGTGAAAGAGGGGTAATGCTACAGGGTAGCGCGAAAGAGGTCACATGACAATGACGAGGGCCACCGGGTGCTCAGGATAGTAACTCGGCTATATAGTCTATTGGTGGCGGATCTTAGGTTGGCCGTCATTCTAGCTCAGCCGTTCGAACCCGCGTGGGGTCCCAAATGGCCTGGCCGCTACGGAGAGCGGGGGAGGGGATCTTAGAGCAAGACGGACGATTACGTTCTGACAGTGCTGGTGTTCTATGGCGTGCTGCCTCACTTGGCGACTTTTTTTTCTGTGTGCATGGGAGCTGTGCACAGCTGTGTCTTCTTTCTGGCCTGTGTCTTTCTGGTGGAGTCGCTGAATCGATGAGTGTGGTGGCTGCTTTGCATGTGGCTGTCTTTCTCTTTCTGTGGGCGTTATTTCTTGTGGTTATTTCTTGTGGAGGATCTTGTACAGACCGCACTGTGTGTGTGTGTGTGTGCATCACATCATGAAACCCGACCTTCATGTGGATCTACGTGTTCATGTCATGGGACAGATCCTTCTACCTACACGTCAATACTCATGTGGACATGGACATTACGACGCACCGCACCTGCACACATCATCAAACCAGACAATGGTCACCTCCCTTTCTCTCGGTGCCTCCTCTGCTCTCTGTGTGCCTCTCCCTAATCATCTGTGCACATGCCCCTTCCCGTCCATCACATTCCAATCATTCCACTCGCGCGTCACAGAGGACGTAGCTCTTGCCACGCTCAATTTCGCTTTCATTCTCGCCTTCGCCACACGCCCTTTCAGTCAGGCATGTGTCCTACCTTTCAGTCGGTATTTCACCATTCATTCGATTCTCGAAGGGACACGCGCCTCTCACCTGCCTCGCCCTCCTGTCTTCTCTCCCTCTCGCTTACGTGCATATGTGTAGTGCAAGTCCCTCGACCAACGCTCACACACTCCTGCGCAACACACCACCCCCACACACTCAGACGACGACACGCCAGCACTCGACATTCGCTTATGCTCCCACCACGCAGCGGGACAAACAGTAACGGCGCATGCATTGCTGACACTCGTCGCCTCAATAGCTCACCAGCACCCATCGTCTCACTCGCCACACCTGAAACAAAACAGAGCCACACAGTTGGCCACCTCCTCAATGCTGCTACTCACCATCCTCCACCCGAATCGACCCTCCTCGCCCACGACAAAGCACTCCACATGTCGCTTCCCCTCCGCGCGTGTCGTTCCACCCTTGCCGCCGCGCCGAACGGCAACTACCTGCACACACGAACACCCCCCTTCTCACACCACCCTTCCACTGCCACCACTCATCCGCTGCATACCGCCTGGCGTCGCGCCGAGTATCACCAGGACCACGAGGATCACGACACGCACGACACCCCATGATTTCATCAAATTCATGTGTCTCGTCGCCTTGCTCATGACGCGAGAATGCGAAGAAAGGAAAGACACAGTGTTGGAACTGAAGGGAGAAGTACAATTGTTTCACAGCGACCCGAACGCTTGCCGCCTCCCTGCTCCTCCCAGGGAATCGTGGAGAGAAGACGCTACCATATCTCACTTGAACTCCTTTCGCCGCACCTACTCATGCACGTTTCTGGCCATGAAGTGCAAGTTAGCTTGATGCGGGCAGATCGACCTCTCATGTCATTCATTATAGGGGGGGATGGGATCTTGATATCCAAGTCGCAAAAGGGGGTTCCACAACTATCAGCAAATTCGCACCGCCATTCTCCATCATCATTCTTCCTGCAGACGTCATCTGATGAGTCGCAGTCGGAGTCCGTCACGCACTCCTCGGCCATGCTCCCCACCAGCAGAGCGGCGAGCACCAACAGCGTCAGGCGCGGGAAGAGAGCCATGATGATGACAGACAATTCAGCGAAACAGGCAGGAGATGACAGAGGGAGCGAGTCGGGAGTCGCTGACAGGTCGAAGTCGAAGACGCGAAGGCGGGAAGTGAAGATCTGCGGTTGAAGAATGCTGATGGAGGTGGGAGTGATGGGAATCCCTCTTTTCTCTCTCCTTCTTCTCCCTCCACAAACGGGGTGTACGTGGGACTTTTAATTGAACTGGGCTAGGGTATTAGAATTCCGGTCGCCTTATCTCGCTAGCGGCGCAGAGCCTGAGATGAAGTCGTTTGCTGCCGAAGAGAACTGTTGGGCGGAAACAGATGCCGATGCAAGGCCGAGGCGTTGCAAAGCGCGAGCCCATTTCGCACTTGCATCGAGCCCGTTTCGCACAAGACCATCTGCTTCGTCGACATGCCTGGTCTTGTGACGATGGTGGAGCTCTTCTGCAGATACTCCAAGCCAAAGGCAACATCTGGTGTGAAACGCCACACACAGCGGAGTACATTGCTTGGTCATGGCTTGTTGTGTATACAAGGAATGCACTTGGAACCCTGAGGCGGCGTGTCCTCCTGCACACAAAACGCACAACGCACACCAGCCACTCGTCGATCTGTCCGGCGGCTCTTTTGTGCACAGGGCGTTGGGCAGACCTTCATGTTGTTGTCCTTCTGCTGCCGCCTGCGCCGCTTGTCGAGCTGTTTCTGCCGCAGCGTTGCTTCTTCCTCTATGATGATCTGGTGCCGCTGTTTCTTCTTCTGACGATGTGTCATCTTCTTCTTCGCCATCCTGCCCGGAAAATGGGCACGCAGGGCCGTTTTTTTAAAGCTCGCATTCAAGCTCGCGAAGATTCGCGTGGTCTCCTGTGATCTCCTCCCCCCGGCGAATTAATGGCAGATGGCGAAGGTGGCCAACGCCTGCGATCCGAATTCGAAAGATGACGCTAACCGAAGACGCTAACGGAAGCAGTGCGGCAAGGAGAGGGACCGCCAGGCCTTGACAGACACTGTCCACCCGGCCGTCAGAACTCTCAGCCTTCTTTCTCTCAGCATGGCCCGCTCTTTCGCTGCGATTGCCCTGGCTCTGCTCAGCGCGTCGATTCACCTGCCTGGGATCTCAGCCCACACCTTTATCTTGTGCAACAACTGCCCCCTGACCTTTTCACCCTTGATGATTATCAGAGTTTTTCCCCAGAGTTTCGACTCTCCCGAATGTCGTTTCGGATTTCTTCCGGAGACCCCCAGCGTCGCTCGTGGCCAATGCGCGACAATCCAGTGAGATATGGAATGCTCAGTATCCCGCCCGCGCGGTACAGTCGTGTTATGTGTGTCTCGCAGAGATGTCGACCACATTGGCGGCTTCCACACCTGGGTGGCTTTCGCCCGACGCCGCGACCAAGGCATAGTGCGCTGGACCGGCGACGCCCCCATAGATTGTTTCGGATCTGTAAGTCTGGAGGCACATCTCGAGATGCCGTTGCGTCTATGCAGTAGTGTGTCCGTTTGTTTCAGAGCTTCAACGGTATCAGAGAACGAAGTGGTGCTGATCAGACTAGAATCACCCTCTTTTGCCCCGGTGGGAGACCCATTGGCGTGTCAGAGCCTGTGCCCCGTCACGGCAATGACACTACCTTTGACAATTTACCCGTGGTCCAGTTCGATGAGCTGAACAGCACTGAGCTGCTTCATGTCTTTGAGGCCGCCTTCGAGGAGCCGGACGAGGCTGAGAATGGCTCAGGACGCAACCTTCTCAGACCCTAGGCGGGCGGTGAGCGGACGATTCGCTCGGTCGATCTTCCTTCGTTCCTTCCTGTGTTGTCGTGTTATTATTCGTTGTCTGTCTGCGTGGATGCGTTTATTCACTGATTTATTTTGCTCCCTCGGTGGATGAGCAAATAAATGCTGGGGCGTCTGTGTCGGGCGGGGGGGTGCGTGGCTGCGTTGCATGCCTCAAGTTTGCTGGCTGCATGATCGTATTTGATTTGTGCTCGCCTCCGTGGGGGCGAGAGAGTCCGATGACACACAACACGCACGTCACGTCATACAGTCAGTCATTTTTATCCACGCATCCGGCCTCCAATGATATCCATCACAGACAGGCACTCGACTGACTCGGCCACACACACACTTATGCTCACTCTCTCGTGTGCGTGGGCCTGCACCATACACACATACACACACACACACACACGTGCGTATTCGTCCCTCTTTGTCGCCATGTTTTCTGTCTTGGTCGGTCGGTCCACAAGTATCTATCGTCTCATTCCATTCACCACCCGTACATCGACTGACTGACTGTGCAGTGCAGTGCAGCAAGTAGAACAAGCCTTGTTGATGCGTGTCTTGCGTCTGCGTGTGGCATGCTGCCTGCCTGCCTGCGTGCATGTGTGTGTGTTTGCATGTGGGGGTGGGAGGGAAGGAGACATCTCTTGCAGCTCAAGTGCCATCGCCGGTAGTTTGTTTCTTCGTCGTGTCTGTGTGTCTTTGTAATCGATAAGTGCATCTGTGGCCATGTGTCCCACAGTGTGTCTGTGTGGCTGTTTGCCAGGCAGTCATGTGTACTCGAATCGAGAGTGCGTGCGGGCCGGACGACCGGCTGCTCTGTGCTGGGTGTGGGTGGAGGGGGAGGACGTGTGTGTGTGGGTGTGTGTGTGTTGGGGTGTGTGTGTGTGTGTGTGTGATTCGGTGGGTGGGTGGGTGGGTGTGTGTTGTGGGGGAGAGCCATCATGAAGATGGGAGAACGAAGCGAGACATTCCGCGGCCAGGGAGGGGACATGGGAATGAGAACACTCAGGGAGGGGACATGGAAATGAGAACACTCAGGGAGGGGACATAGGAATGAGAACACTCAGATGACCTATATCAGCGCACTTTACCCACCGATAAATCACATGAGACGAAGCTGGCAATCCAGGCCCGCTTTTCGTTTCAGTTTTCCAGCGTTTCTCTCTCAGCGTCTCCTTCGCTTCCTAACAGAAGGTCTCGGCACTTTTCGGCGAACGGGGGAAGGAGGGAGCTCGCAGTTTAGAGCATCGCGTGTGCGGCGTGTCCAACCGAGGCCTCGCTCATCGATGCAGATCGCGAAGACGCATCAGAAACTGAAAGAAACAAATATACACCACACGCACACATCAATGGGTGTGCGTATTGGCTGTCTCTGTGTGTGTTGTGTGTTTCAGCACACCTTTACGTGTAGGCCGAAAAGGGCACGTCAGCTACCAGCCAGCCAGCAGGCACCAGGGACGGTGCACCACACCACACCACACCACACCACACCACACAACCAAATGGAATGCAATGGATCCCCCGCCCACATGAAGACATACAGGTCCGTCCACTGTCCCTCATCGAAATGTCCCCCGTCCGTCTTTGATATCGCGCATTTGTCTGTCTGTCTGTCTGTCTCTGTCGGTGTGGCTGGTGTGGAGGGGGGGGGAGGGATTCATTGCATTCCATTTCATTGCGTGGTCCACACACACACGCGTCCACCAAGCGATGGAATGGAATGCAATGAATCCCTCCCCCCCCTCCACACACACGCGCACAGTGACCTTTGTCCAACGGGAAATGTGCACTCAACCGGTCTGTGTTGGCTGACACTCAAAAGAGATGGGCAAGCCGCATAAGAGAGAGAGAGAGAGAGAGGGAGAGAGAGAGAAGCAGAGAGCTGGCCTCTCTCATATTCATCCATCCATCAAGAAAAGAGCAGGTCGGCCAGGGTGTGAACTCGCGCTCACAACTAATCCATCCATCGAATGGGCAAGACAGGCCATGGATGGGCAACTTAGTGAGCCTTCACACCCTGGACGAACTTGACCTTAACACAGTTGAGGCACACGAAGTTCTCCTCGCTCATCATTCCCATCTTCTTCATCTTGTTGAGTATCATGCCGACCACCTCGTTGTTGGTGTAGTGGTGCCCGTTCCCGTGCATCTTGCACACCGCCTTCCCGCAACAGTGGCAGACCTTGCACCGACCCGACCCCACCTTGTTGTTGCAGCCGTAAGTGGCGCACACGTGTGGTCTTGGTTGGCGAGGTTCACACTCGGTCGTTTCTTCTTGCTGCTGCTGCTGCTGCTACCCCCTTGCTGCCCCGCCATCGCCGCACGAGGCACCTTTCGCACGGCGCTCTCGATGATTTCGTTGACCTCCTCTACCCACTGGCTGTGCGGGAAGGGGTCATTGCTGTTGCGGTCGATGGCCTTGCTGTGATACAGCGGATGCACCACAACGGCGTGAATGCCCAAAATCAGGACGAAGAAGGGCAACTGGGTCTGTGACGTCCACGCCATCGCTTGCCAATGGATGAAAACAGAGGAAACGTTGACTGGAACTCAACCGACAAGCGAAACTGGCAGATGCGACGTCAGAAACGACAAGAGACCCGCTGAAAAGACGATGCGAGCTTAATAAGTGATTTACCAGCATACTAAGTGATTTACCACCTCCTCCATACTAAGCAGACCCCCCCCGACGCCTGCCACCATAGTTCAGTGGGAAAACTGGGTTTATGCCATTCATTACCGCAGAGGTTCAAATCTTGGGAGGGGGATGGTATACGGAATTTACGATACGAGCCGACTAAACGAACGGCTAGACCTGCTAACGGCCAGCTCTCACAGGGAGAGTGGACGGGGTTTGGTATTAACGGAGGTGGCTCAAAGAGGAGGAGAAAGGCACTCAGTTGCCTGTGCCTCAAAAAGAGGAAAAAAAAGACACGTTCAAAAATCAAAAAACGACCGACACGAGATAGAAACTCTACTCGTGACAAATGAGAAAAACAAATGGATGAGATCAAAAGACGATTGACACGAGATGAAAAGACTACTCGTGACAAATGAGAAAAACAATGGAGAGGAAATGAGGAATGGGCGTGTGGAGAATGGCAAAACAATGAACAGGTGGTGGCAGGGCAGGTGAATACCGCCCCATATTGTCACGATGCACAGCGGTGAATTTTAAAAGTGCGTTGTTGTTTTTTTAATTTTATCATATATAATGTCTAATAGTCTAATTCAGCGACTGAAAAAAAATAAAAATACAAACGATGATAATGATGGAAGAATACTTTACCAGTTTTATTTAAAGCGTCTGAAAAATGCGAAAGTAAAGAATGCGGAGCAGGTGGCTCGACGGATAGAGCGCGCAGTCAATACAAAAATGGAATCAAAGAATAATAATATATAAATTAATAAATGAGATGCACGAAAAAATACGGAACTGCCGAGAGATATTCAACAAGATCGCGAACGAGAAGAAGTGCTGGATATTGTTAATTACAGGACGTATAAATACGGGAAAAACCTTGATTGCACTATCATTATATCGGTATCTGCGGGATAGGAATAAGTTTGATGATGAAGTGATTGTGACGGTGCAACCTGAACTGTGGTTGAAGACTGGCGTGAAGCGTCATAAGGTTTTGACCAAAATAACAGAAGAGCAAATCAAGGCGTTGGCGGAACATCAAGAGAAGACAAAGAAGCGAAGACGAGTGCTAATGATACTTGATGATAGTATTGCTACGATGGACAATACGAGAAGCAAGGAATTTGAGAGATTACTTACTATTGTTAGGCATATGAATGTCAGTATTATTCTAATAAGTCAGTCTGTAAAAAGAGTATCAACATTAATAAGAAGCATTTATGATTTTGCATTTTTATTACGCCAATGTGGCCATGCTAGTCTGGCAATTCTTCACGAAGAGATATTTAATGATGGCAAGAAAAAATCAGAATTTTATAAGTATTTTTATAATGCTACTAATAATTATTGTTTTGTTTCAGTAAATGCACGCAGTTCAAACACAGAAATAAAGGAGAATTACTGTGATTATAAATGGTTTGGAATTATAGAATAAATTAACGTGGGACTTGCAGTAGCGGTTGTATGTTATCTTCTATTCTTGGCCCTCTTGTTGTTCGATGTGTTGTTGCCCTCCCCTCCCCATAGGCTGGTGCAGGAGGGTTCCATTCAGGTGGAATATTAAGCGGTGGCTCTGGTGCAGGAGGTGGTATTTGTCTTGCTCCTGTTTCAGGTTCTGGTTCATAATTGGGTGGAAAATTAGTGGGCGGTTCGGGTGCTGGTTCGGGTAATGCAGGAGGTGGCGGTTCTGCCGGTTCAGGTTGTGGTTCATAAGGCGATTCTTCTAATGGTTCAGGCAAGCCTCCATCAGCAGGAGGAATTTGAGGTGGAAGAGGAGGTGGTGCTGGTTGCTGTGGAGGTGGAACATACCGAGCATTAATTAATTGGTCTTGTATTTCATCACTGTCCGCTACTTTAAGAACCTCTTGAACAGATAAATCAACATTAGCATTTTTACCCAAAAATTTCTGAAAGAATGATTTAATGGTTGGATTATTTAAATTGGATGAATAAACATTAAACCCATTATCTCTATTATTTAATGCACCTTTAAGTATATCATTTCTTTTAACGACATTCAAAAAAGCATCAAGTTATTTTCTTTATTAAGTTCATTCACATTAACAAGCAAAGCACGATTATCTTTAAAATTATAGAAGGTATCTTTATCCCAAGTAAATCCTTTTTTCTTGTTTATTGGAGGGAAAGTAAATAACATTTGCCCTTCTTCCAGTTCAGGCGGTATGTCACTAACATTGTGTAGACTAAACAAAGGTGTTTTTGGTAGTAAACTTTCAGCATGTGATTTAAGATAGTTCAGGCCAGCATCATAATTTTGTCGCTCTTCATCATTCATTCCCCAGTACAAGTCATGTATTTCTTTTAATTGTGTTGAATTATTAGCCATGTTATAGATAGAATGAAGTAATGTATCTTCACTAGAAGCACTCATATTCTATATTATATATATATATTTTTTTTTGCCTACCTCCCTTGGTTTATCAGAGCTTGACCAAGACGCAAGTTCGGGTCGTTGTATGTCTGCCTCTGTGTCTGCATAGCTAACTGACTTAATTTGTCAGGTAGTAGTTCGTTATCCATTTTAAGTTCAGCAGAGGCAATAGGATTAATGACAGCTTGTGCCATAGATACAGCTTCATTTTCAGTATATCCAAGTCTCATAAATTTGGTTATGTAATAAATTTTAGTACTTTTAATGTATGACCGAATACGAATAAGCTCATTGAGTTTATTAGTCAAGTAGCCTTGTAGTTGAGTAACAGAACGAATATAATTAGTTAAGCGAATAATTTGTTTGTCGATATTTCCACTGTCATTAACAATTGGTTGAGCGTGATAATCAGCATTTGCATGACCCAAGCCTTGCATAATATTATATAACTCACTATCTTGAATTCCATGAGGTTCAATTGTGCTGTCTCTTGTTGCTCTTGCCGTTTGACCAGGACGTACTACTGGACGTAATTGACTTACTGCATTAACAAGACCCTGAGGGTTAATATTAGTTGCTGCTGGTACTGCTGCCATTTCTGTTTAACAAAGTTATATATATAAAAAAAATATTAATTTAATTAAAATTATATTCACTTAAACATCTATCATTCATTATATTATAATAAGTGCTTTAAGTGATATTGTACTGAATTAAATATCAAACACATCAAGAAAGGACAACTAAACTTCCATTAGCAGGATTTAATTGTAGCATTTCATACGCATAACTAATTAGATGAAGCGTATAATCTTCTGATGTAGGACTATCGAAATCGATTGTAATTCTCTCATTTGAAAATAAGCGTCTCCAGCCCGTGTTATTTCCTGTCAAAAGTGCGACTGCTGGATTTTGAGCAAAACTGAAAAAATAAAGGGTATTTACGTCAAGAAAAGGCGAGTTCCTCAGAAAATTGTCCCACTGAGTATACGCTAATACCGACCTACAAAACTCACCATCGATTGGAGAAGCATAACTAATAATTGTCCCGTTCTGGTCTTTTAGCACGAATTGTTTGATAGGCACATTGTTGTCAATAACATCATCTCCTTCCGCATTAACCTTTGTAATACGATCGATGGATGGTTGAAATTTAGGTATTGGTCAGCAAATGAAAGGGTGCCTGATGGAATATGAAGTTTAGTGCGATGACTTGAAACGACACGATAATGTTTAATATTACGATTTGCTATTAGTGCTTGTTTAACGCTTCTGTTGTAATCCATATAATGACAATGAAGCAGGCAGTGTTTAATCGCCGGAGTTGAAGGTGATGTTCCATCTCCATAACTTGCCACCGAAGCATCCTTGAATTTGATGACCAGACGAAGTTTCGATTTCAAATACCACAGCGGAATATTGGTGTTGAAAAATACTGACTTCAAAGGTAAGAAATACCGAAGTTTGCCATCGGTATTATTCTGTGAGCGTTCAACACTGCTTTCTAATCCGCTGAAACTATTAATCGTTTGTAGAGCATCTTTAGTGTGTGAAAATAGTATGCTAAAATATAAATCAGTTCCTTCTATCTGCTTTAATTGATGACTTCCACCCCCGCTAAACAGAGTTATAGTATCGATAAGTAGTGCTGTGCGATGATAATATTGTGTAGTTCCACCAGTCTGCGTTAAGGGTTCAAATTCGATTTCTAAATATGGTTCAATCAACATAAAGTTTTCCTCCAATTCCCATACAGCACTTCCGGAAAACGATGTTTGCCCAGAAATTTTATGATACACCCGCCATTCACTTCGGTTCCAACTTGAAGTATTTGATAAACTGCGGCTTGGTAGATTAAAAACAAGGTTTGACTTTGATTTAATTGGCCTATGAGTAAATCGCTGTAAAATAGAGTCCGTATTTTTGGGAAGTGAAAGGGACTTCTCAACAACAGATTTTGACATATCACTTATAAACTGATTATATATAAAAAAAATATTAATTAATTAATTATGGTTTATGCTAATGGTTCTGTATTCTCTCCTTCATTGACAGGCGGAGTAGTTGTGGTCATTTTTTCCATAATCATATCACTTACGAATTCACCACCAGCATGAGCGGTGAAATAGACCACTGCCAGTGAATAATCAGGATCTTGATTGAATAACAACTCCATAACCATTCGTGAAACCGCACCTTTAATTCCTGATGCTACAAGTTTATTTTCCATAGGCAAATTCAAGAAAATAGGTGACAACAAAATATCATTCAAAGCATCACTATAAGTTGTAAGTAGAGAATTTACACCTTCATAAATTTCAGGGGATATTCTATATCCTGCTACATATCTTTCCTGTCTTTGCTTTTTATAGGGGTTTATTGTCTGTATGCCCCAGACCATTGACGAAGTGATAATACTTTTCATATTAGTTTTAGCAAAAGTTTGGACGAATGTTACATAATATGTAAGAAAATCAAATCCACTTGTTGCTTGGTCTTCTAACTCTGCTGACATTCTAAATTAGTTATATATATCTTATATAAAAAAATAAATAATTTATTTATCTTCTCAATTGGTCAAATAACATCCAAAGTCGTATTGCTATTCCCGCTTCAACTACACTCCCAACTATAGTTACGATATAAGATAAAAACAATCTGCTCCCCTTCCCATATTTTGAAAGTTGAGGGTCTAAATCAGGGTTTGATTTCTTTAACGCATTGTTCATAACTCCATCTATCGCACGAAACATTATTTCGTAAAGCGTATCTCAAACTGGAAATACAATTTCGTTCATTATAAAACCTCCTGCTCCTCTATCAGACATTTTATTGTTAATATATTATTATTATAAACTTTTCACCGCATAATGAACTCTGTACAATCTTAACAAAAGAGCCTACTGACATAATACTACCATAATAAATCAAAACCATACTCATAAAATTACCAAAAGCGTCTTTTGAAACATCGGGGTTGTAATTACGATTGATTGTAGGATATTTACTTAAATTTAACATTTTATCAAAAAATTCATAGTAAAAATCATAGATAAGTCTAACATAGTCATAGAAAATGAAAAATATAGCAAATATACCTTTTTTACTATAATCAGTATCGCCTACTATCGGTTTATCATCAGGAGGATAAGTATAACCTGTTTCAGGGTCATATACTCCTCCTTCTTCATTTTTTGTCTCATCATTTACCCAAATATATTTCTTATTATCAACATCGTATATAATTTTTCCCGATGGTGAGTGTGTATAATCCCAAGTTTCCAAAGTCGCTTCAACAGAATTTTTAGTAATATCTTCAAATTCTTTAATCCATTTTTCGGACATATCGGTTGGTGCGTATTTAATGACACGCTCAACCATTCTTTTCCAGTATAATTCACCATTTTCAATATATATTCCTCCCATAGTAAAACGATAAATTAAATAATCTTCATGTTTCCATTTTTTCGCATAATCCACATAATCAGTTATATCTATCCCTAATTCTTGATGCGCTTTTAAATAGTATCCGAAATTATGACCACTTGGATTTTCATAATAACCATTTGCCCAATCCATCATATCACCTACCCATTCAAAATTACTATGTCTCATCCGCTCCGATACAACCCATTCTAAATTTTGGTAATCCCTAACTACTCTACCATCAGGCATATATTCCATAGGTGGTATTTCCAATACTTTAAAATTGTCTGTCTCATCTATAATCGCTATGTTATGTTTGTTTTCATCGTAATATTCAGTCTTATCTCCTATTTTAATACCTTGTAAATTCTTTTCTACAAACACATTATCAACAACTAAATTGTCAGTTTCTAACCACTTCTGACGATGAGGCATATTAATTATATATTAGAATATTTAGTTTTTAATTCTTCTGTTTTTTCTGGTGTCGGTTTCGGATTGACCATATTTTGAATTCCACATTTAATCACGGCAAAGACTAAAAGACCAATCAATCGAATTCTCGGATCGATTTGGATGTATTCAAGATTTTCGACTAGAAGCATCTTTAAAGTCGTAATAAAATTACCATCTTCTTTTAACATGTCAGTCAATCCATCGAGTGGTATTTTTGTCAGTTTCGGCAATAATTTTTCAATAACCATTCCTATATTACTGATAATATAGGAGGTTGATGTATCTATCGCATCTGTTGCCATTTGTGAAGAGAGACGGCAATACTCTAACCTGTCTTTTAATTCTCCGATGCTTATATTTGCTTGTAATTTTTGAAAGTTTTTATGAGGAAACAAACAGCAGTAGGAATTATACTTTGCTTTCAACATATCCTTTTC